ACGTTTCTTTTTTTTTAGCATACTTCCATGGGCTTTCTGTGTATTATGTACCTGAGCAAGAATAACAAAAATCGCCCGAGCAGTTGATGTGGGAATCCATTATACCGGTGGCCATTTCTAGTTTTCGTTCCTCCACATTTTTTTTTTTTTCGAGCATGACTACTAAAGATATCGCATTCCTTGCGATTCTTGCAACTTTTGATCAGCTCTGAGTAGCTTTCGATCAGTCTTTGATAGATGTATGGCACCTATAAATAGTGATTAGTTTGGCTTATTAGTGCTGTGACGCTAAGCTTGGAGTCATGTCGCTCCCTTCCTTAAATTTTACCGCATCCCCACAGTGTTTGGCGACTGGATTAGGTCCTACACCGTGGCGACTGGATTAGGTTTTAGCTCCTACGCCATCGATTCTCCTGCCTGCACTCTGTGTTTCGATCTAAAATTTTCGGACAGTTATTGGGAACCATTTACATTTAGCAATTGTTTGTTACTGTGATTCTGCTTTGTTTTTGCTGTGATATTTTTTAGGAAAAAATCTGTGATTTCTGAGTTGATTTTGCTTGACATGTGATCACTTTCTTAGGCTTATAAACTCCTGACCATTAATTCTGTTACTTGTTATATGTGAGTTAATGACCGATTGCATCTTTCACTGTTGGATGTTTACAGAAGGAAATTTCCCCTTACGGTATTTGTTGTAATTTTCTTTGTTAGTTTATGTTCACACGGATTATACTTTGGAAAAATTGGCTGTTTAAAAAGAGGATTTCATAGAAAATGTTGTTCATATATCAGTAAAGGAAATTGGTGAATGCTATAGATTAGGCTTGGTAGGGCATTTTTACATCCTGCTTGTGGCATATAGAAGATTTCGTAGTACAATCGTTTTCAGTCATATGATTGTACATTTGGGTCAGAAGTCTACCCACTGATTTGTGCTTTGTTAGGTAATAACGTGCTAGGGCATATTATTCTGATTCATTGATATAGCGCCAACCTCAGTACCTTTAAAATTTGATTTCACCGTGTTTTTTTCCGATAGAATTTCCCTTATTGTCCGGTCCGAAGACTATCCGCTAATATCCAATCCGGAAAATATCCTTTAGTATCCAGTCCGAAATAGGACCATTTACATTATTTTATTCTTCCATTTCTTTGATGTAGCACTTCTCGTTGCCTGTTTTATTCACACCTACCAGTAATGTATTTGCTTGTTCGTTCGCTCATACTTATTTTTTATGAACTTGTTTTTCTGTTCATTCACGTATGAGCTGTGAAAAAGCTGTATTTTCGTGGTCTTTCTAATTTATATCGAATGTACACACAGTGGAATGAGGAGCCACTGTATATGTATATTTGTAAGAGATTACCGAGAATATTAGGACTGGCTGGGCAGTCGGTGTGAGAATCCTAAGTTAGTGATGTTACTAAGATGATCCTGTGTTAGTGATGTTACTGGGATAATCCTATGCAGTAGGCACTGGTGGCTGTGCCCGGTCTTTCGGTCCTGAGCCAGTAACTTTGCCAGGTCTTTCCATTCTAAATTTCACAAATCAAAGAAAAGATTTGAAAAAAATTGGGTTTTACGCATTTCGCTAAGATTCCCTCTAAGAAAAGATGGAGCTTGGATTTCATCATGAGCTCTGAAAAAGTTATTAACTTTTATTATTTATGAACTTGTTTTTCTGTTCGTTTACATGTGAGCTCTGAAAAAGCTGTATTCTTGTGGTCTTTCTATGTATATTTAATTTAGATACAGTGGTATTAGAAGTTATAACTTTGCAACAAATTACCGAGAATACTAAGCAGCAAATTGCAGCAACCAGGTTAACGCCTCAGTGATGGTGCAGGAATCCCATATCAGTGATTTTACTGGGATGTTCCTGTGCAGCGTAATAAATTGGCTTTTGCCCGTTTCATTAAGATTTGCCTAAAAAAAGATGAAATTTGAATTTCATCGAGAGATTTGCATATAATTTCTACATTGTTTGCCGTTTTGCTTACTAATGTGTGGATTTGATCAGCTTCATAGTCTTTCTTTGAAATGTCTGCAAACATTGGATGATTTGAAAAAATGATTGTTTTTGGAAAATTTCCAAATTTTTGGTGCTGCAATATGAATTTTGATCGTAAATTTATCTGTCTGTGTGTGTTACCAAGACACACTTTGTATTTGTGTTTCCTACAGGAGGCACCATCCCTGTGGTTGTATTTTTTTTTTTTGCTTGGCGCATTTGATGGATTTCAGTTTGTACTCACAAAGTTTTCCTGAATTAATACAAAATTTCCTGTTTAGCATCAGACCAAATTCAAATGCCATTTGTTTTTGGCTTTTTTCATTACTGCCGTTGCTGTTCTTTGCAAGAACCAAAAATTTTTAGATATGAAAAACTAGAACGATTTGTAGGCGAAAAGATGTTGAGCATGAAGGAAATGGGTACTACTTCTCCTGCTGCTGGTACGATTAGGGAAGGGCGGGGAGAGTTGGATTTTTTCGTCGGTAATGAATAGGTTTTCTTGTCAAATTTTTAGATTAACCTTTGGTCGATGGCATTGCTGATTGATGAAAGAAAGAGAATCGTCTAGTGAGCATCGCAGTTTGAGACCGCGCCTTGAAGTAAAAGAAGAAGTACGTTTGCTCCTTTGCATGCATATTTTCCACAAATTCTAATAAGTTTATATAGATGAAGACAATCGGGAAGAGAGGTTGGGGCTTTGGGACCAGAATTGTGGAATCCTTTACAAC